CTACTGAGGCTAAAAATCAAAAGAAAAAAAAAAATCATCGCCAGGAAGTGAAAGCAGTAAAATTCGAAAAATTTAATTTTTTCGAAAAAATTTCCGTTGCATCAATGTTGAATTAATATGTAGAGAAATTTATTTTTTATTCTATTTTTAATAATGTTAATAACGATGCCTAGGTTGAATAAAATTATTATTAGTCTGATACATTTGTTTTTATAAGAATATTTTTGAAACATAGATATTCAAAATGTTGAATAAGCAGATTCAAAAATATACTTAAGCTTACGAAAACGTTTTTTTGTAAGAAAGTCAAAAGTAATTTTAAGAATTCCTACACATTACATTTTTTTAATAAAAATCCTTAAATACCAACAAAGGAAAAAACAACCAATGTATGATAGTCTTGTAGATGGTTAAAAGACAATAATCCAAAACAAAATAATTAAGTTTACCTTTTTAATTGACCATCGGCTACTTGGCATGTTAGGTTTTTAATATTGTTCAACCTTACTCTAAATATACATGTTTTTTAGCACAATTTCATTAGTACATATACTAATTGAATTGTGCTCAAAAAAGTTAAAAAGATAAATTTAATTATTCGGTTTTGGTTACATGTTTTTTAGATTTTTAAGGTAATTAAATTTACTCATGTATGTTATTTAATTTAAGATATCATAGTATTTTGTAATATGAGCTGTTCTCGCACAAAATATACAAATAAAGGAGAAAAGAAAAAGATACAGACCAATCCTAGAAGGCTACTGTTTCTTCTCAAGTATCTTATCAACCAGTTACCTATAAACCAGCTTCCCAGCATTGGAAATGTTCTTAGATACATACAGTTTATCAAATCTTCAAGGTCTTTGAAGTTTAAATCTAATAAGCCAACTGAAGCTTGCTCTAAAACGTTTCCAGGCAAAGATCTTATCTGCAAGGTTGGATTATGTAGAAATACCAACCACAGATGTGTCACTTCTCTTGTAATCGATGTGTGGAACAAAGCTGGTTTCGGAGACTTTTTCCTTTCTGGAGCTGCAGTAAGGTAAGAAATTTAATATTATTAAAATATAAGTAAATCAACAAACATTAATATTATTATAAAAAGTAACCATATCTTGGTAATTATGAAAGTTTATATAATGATTTTTTATATCATTAAGGGATAAGATTTTGAAACTCCATACTAAGTATTGTAAGCTGATCCATTTGAGAAAACTAAACTGGGATTCCAGAACTGATAGATTTACTAAGATCCAGCGAGAGTTCATTCAGAGAGCACCAAACTCTTCGACATATCTGTAGCGAGATTTGAGGAAAAAATCCAATCTGATCGCTTTCGTACCCAGGATGCCAAGGCGGAAGACATTTAGTTTTTTTTAGACCAGAAAGAGGATCGAAAAATGTATATAACTACAGAAATAGACAAAGAATTTGAAGCATCTATTAAAAATAGATAGGATTGTTGGCAGAGAATGAAGAATATGAAGATTACAACAGCGGAAAAAGAAAAGGGTTTCTAATGAGGTTTCATATGATTCTGATATCAACTCATCTGCATCCGAGTCAGATGCTGCAGTTTTCACAGGTGAAGATTATATCAATGAATTATTCCAAAACTTTGGTTCTACAGTAAAAATCAAGGTAAATAAAATAATTGTTATAAAATTTAAAGTTATTTGTATAAAATTTGAGTAAACTAAATTTAACTGCATTCAATTAGATTAGAATTATCACTTCTATTTAATATTTAGATAATGATAAATATTAGACCTGAGGATCTAGTGGATTGTACTTCTGTAGTATCTGCTCGGTATAGGGTTGGAACCCGACTTTAAACCGCAATCATTGCAGGAAATCTTGAGAATGTGCCAAAAACTCCATCGAAAGCTCCGCCCATCGAAAACTCCGCCCATCGAAAGAGATTTAAGATGATTGAAGGTCTAGGTAAAAATAACTAATTGAAATAAATAAAAGGATTAATAAAAATTTAAACAAATTGGTAATAAAGCTATTTTGTATATTAGAAGATCAGATATCGCAAGATATAATGGAAATATCGAAGGGAAAAAGACTTGTCCTAGACTTCGACAGCAAAAAAATAAAAGAAATGGAGGATAATCTAAATATTACTGTTACTGTTGAAAAACTTCTATTAGTGTTACATCACTAGATATTGACGACACAAATAAGTTTCTCTTTGGAGTAGTTCAAGCTCAAAGTTCCAAGGGAGTTGATCAGGCAAATTTAATATTAAATCTCCTAGAGTATTACAACATTGTTGATCAGATCTTCGCCATATGCTATGACACTACTGCTTCCAACACTGGAGTATTTGCTGGACCCATTACCATCCTCAAACATCCTCAGCATTCCGTTTCTCTGGTTTCTCTGCAGACGACAGATGTTTGAGATAATCATCTCTCATTTCATGGAGGCTCATACTGGTGAAAAAACTAAGGGGCCCAGGAGAGCACTATATTTAAAACTTAAGAAAGCCTAGCCAAGCATCAAGGAAGAGGTGGATAAGATGGAGGAGGTAATTAGGTTTGGTTGGAATGAGCTACAGATTTGATTATCCTTGTACAACATAGCAAGGGATGCCTTAAAGTTTTGCAAAAAGACACTGACCACAAAGATATTTAAAAAAGGCGACTACAAGAAGCTCTGCGAACTAGTTGTATTCTATTTAGGAGGAGATGTACCGGGGTTTCGTTTTCATCAACCTGGAACCTGTCACGAAGCCAAGTATGGTTAAAGTATATTATCAATAATTTGCATTATTAGAAGAGAGTACATTTTGAATATTTTTCTATATAACTATATAGAAAATACATTAAGATCCTGTTCTTTGTTTCCATATGCTATGGCATATGGAAACAAAGAACAGGGTCTATATATAGACCCTGTTCTTAAAATCATATATGGTTGACAAGTAACCTTCAAATGACCTAGCTGCCTTCAAGTCATCGTTTGAAATAAGGCAGGCTCTTCTTATCAGCATGCTGCGGCACGCTTGGTACTTAACAGAACAGTTATTTATACTGGTTCTAGCTAACGATGATGTTGACGAGAAGGTAAAAAAAAAGATGTTGGAAAAGTTGGTCTATACCCAAGTGTTTCATATGGGGAAACCAAAGCTACCAGTTATCAAAAGGTCAACTGAGGTGGTAGGTTCCCAGAGTTGGATCTTATTTATTGTAGTAGGTATTCCATTTAGAGAGGCGGAGAAGTGGCTCAAGGAAGATGCCAGTGAAACTTTTGACCTTTTTAAAAGGTTTTTGAAATCAATTGAATGTGTTAATGACTGCACTGAAAGAAATATCTGACTAATCCAGGATTTTGTTAGAGACTACAGTTCGGATGACATAAAACAGAACCTCATGCTCGTTGCCTAAGACAACAGAAAAAAACTAAAGAAAGTACTAACAAAGAAGCAACTCATAAACGTTTAATTTTTAAATTTAAAATATATATTTTTAAAAGAGTTACTAAAATACATAGTTTTTTCGTAAAAATTGCTTTATTTTTGAAAAATGAAATTTTACTGTTATCACTTTTACAATAGCAAAAACAGTTTTTTTGCTTTTTTTAAGCCTATTTGGACGTTAAAGAATGGAAAAACATTGAGAGGTAACTTTTTTTTTTTTTTTTGGAACACCCTTTTACATAAGCCCTTTAAGACAGTAAGAAATAAAAAAAAAAATTTTTTTTTTTTGGAACACCCTTTTACATAAGCCCTTTAAGACAGTAAGAAATAAAAAATAAAATAAAAAAAGAAATAAAAACTTTTTCTTCGTCAAATCGCTTAAAATAACAAGAAGGCCTCGCTAAATGTTTTGCTTCAGGCCACACATCTTTTACAGGCCTCGCATTTTCTAAGGACGCGTTTCTAAGGACTGTTCGCTGTGATAAGTGAAGTTTTACTTTAACACGAAAATAAAAAAAAGTTACGCAACAGAGTTATCTTATTGATCGCGATTAGTAAAATATAATGAACACAGCGTTCTTTCCAAAGAAAATATGTAAATTTAAATTTGTAATGTATATATATATATATATATATATATATATATATATATATATATATATATATATATATATATATATATATATATATATATATATATGTATATATATATATATATATATATATATATATATATATATATATAAAGTATTTATACATATTATAGTTTATGCATAATTAAAATATATCAATTACTCTCCTTACGAGAGAATAAAAAGCATGCTTTAGTGGCAAGTGGTTTGATGATAATTAAGTGTGACAATTAATAAAAATGAAAAAATAATACATTTTTTATTAAACATTTCAACATATTATAACAAACTTTATTGAAAAAAAAAGACAATATTTCAGATGAAATTTAACCGCTAACCGTTAGAGATTTAGCTAATTTTTTGCTATCTCTTTGGTGACGAACATTACAAGTTATTTGCCAGTTTTCTACCCGGTATAGATCTCGCGTCTTTTGAAACTTATATTTTATAATTATGCACGCTATATGGCTTTTGATATATTGAATTGTTTCTTGCTTAGATTTTGCTTTGAAAAAGTTTATCAAGTGCATGACTTGAATAACGAGGGTATATATAACCCCTAGAATAACCCTATAGAGAATTTTATAAGTATAAGTTTACATACTATAACAGATGTTTTAACTTAATTTAATTATTTAAAACTTATCTAAAGTGTTAACTTTTACAAATTTTATTAAGTGCACTCAGAATTGCAAACGAAATTTCAAACGTAAAATTTTTCTAACGGATTTAACTTTAAAAATAAAAAAAAGCATTCTTCAGTCTCCGTAACAAAGTTTTAGTTAATTAAATTTTTGATGACGTTTTTTTTATATAGTTATTTCCAGTACACTTATTCATTTTATGGCAATTATTTTGTGGCAAAAATTAGTAATTTGTTAATGTTAAATTAAAAACAAAATGTAAAACTAGGGTTTTCCATGACGTAATCAAACCCGTAATTGTGTTTATGTAGTTTCGATTTAATGCTTTGGTAAACGCAATCCGAAATCTTTCAGTTTGTACATTGATTGCTTACAAAATTTTAGAATGTCAAATCAGTATAGTTATAGCCAGCATGTTAACACTGATTTGGAAGCCAATAAACCGCCACCATACACGTCTTATAATGAATATGCAACTCAACAAAACCCAATGGCACCGCCACCACAATATGGTTGGATCAATCCTGATCAAGGAGCTGAATCAAATACTACTATTTTAGGAATATCATCATTCAGTGAAAAGTCAATCAGACAAGGTAATATAATTACAAAAAAAATAACAATTTTATAAAATATGTTGAAAATAATAAAAAAAGTTAAACTAATAAAGTTCCTTCACGTGAAGCGTATCAAGATTATAAGAAAGTACCAGACTATAAGAAAGTAAACCTTTCGGTCAATATTATAATATTTACAGTTATGTATGATATTTACTGGTAAATAAAATGCTATTTTTGCTGTTGTTATTGTTGTGATCACAACAATAACTGGAAAATATTATAATACTGACTGAAAGGTTCACTCTCAATACTATGCATACATAGAAGTGGGTCAAACACCCTTTATTTTTGAAAATCATATGGTACTGTTTTCTATGTGCTGTTATAGATTACTCTGTTATTAATTAAATAATAAATTTAACTTTTTTGCACAAAGACTTTGCTCAATAGCCTCTAAAGTTAAATTTTTGCTTCAAAAGGTCATATTATGACAAGCTAAACACCCTTTGGCACTTTTTTTCTTATGTTATTTTCTAGCATTTCATTACATAGCAGGTACAACAAATTGTTCTTTTAGAAATCAGAAATAATTTTTAAATTTTTAAATAATCCATACTTGATCATGTCCCTGATTGCACATAAATCTAAGCAAGGAAAAGGGGCTACCCATGGTGCTATCAGAAACCAACTTGCATAAAATAGCCCAGTAAACTCAGCAGCTTGATGAACTGTTGTTATTTGTTCTGCACTAATTATATCAAATTGTTGCTAATATCATTGTTGTCATATAGTAGATAGCTTTTGATATAGGTTTGTGAAACTTATAATTTGAAAAAATGTAATTCAAATTTGTCAAGAATTTTTTTTAAATTTAAAATAAAAGGAATATACAAATCTCTATATTTTTTCTTAAAAAGTTCCTTTCTACTTGCCTCATTCAAACCAGTTAAGGATTTGGATTTTAGTTGAAAAGATTGTGGTGTATCTGACATTATCTCAGAAATTACAAGTGCTGTATGCTAGATAATAACAAATAAGATAATGAAAAAGTTATTATAACAAAACTAGAATATATTAACAAAACTATAATATAAATAGTAAATTTCTAACCTAAATATGGAGCTCAATTATGTGACGTCTGCAGGTAAACCATAGTAACAACCTGTCAACCATTTTTCTAGCAATTCACATGCACCCTGCATCCAGCTTTAATTTGATTCATTTATTTAGAAATAAAAAAAATTAAAAAGTATAATGACAATTATAAAAATATAAAATATCATACTACACCATATACATATACTATAATTTAATTTTAAATATAAATAGTATTATGATCATTCCAGGATAAGTTTTCATCAATCTTTATTTCAAGATTGTTAGCACACTTTTGAAGAAAAAGTATTTTCCTGTTTAATTGTTGAAAAGTTTTTTCAAAGTTTCATCAATCAATTCAAAATATTAATTTTGAATTGATGATCAAGTTTTTGAAACATTAGTTTTAAAATTATTAACTCAATCATGTTTGTATAAAAAGAAATTTTTTTGCCATTTAACCAATTGCAAAGTTTTTTAAGGTCTTAGTTAATTTTATTAATTGATTTGTTAAGATAGAAATAGTTTGTGTCATCAGCCAAGTGTTAAATTTTATAAAAGTTTGGAGCTTTAGATAAATAATTTATATAGAATCAAAACATTAATAGACCTAGGACAAACCTAACAGCGACATCACAAACTGTTTTTTTAGTTAGCAATGAATAACACTTTATTAATTACTAATAATTAATTTGTCAACCAGAAATTCGAAACTCTGGTATCATAGTAAACTAGTTTCTAATTAATTTTAATATCAACAGATACTGTTGATGGTTTTTGTAGATCTATAATAGTGCCATAACCAAGCAAACTTTTATCTAAAACATTTCCAATGTTTTTAAACAGATTTAACAAGTAAAATGATAAAGTGCTGAATTTGTTTAGAAACAAAATTTTAAATCAAGGAAATTTCAAAATCGATTAAGTTAAAGGTCTTTTAGAATTTTATCAATATTAGACAGTATTCATATTCACATTAATAAGTTTTTATAAACATTTTTTTTTTCATTTTTGATGCAGAATTTTTTCTAAAGTATAAGGAAATTTCTGTTTACACTTTTTTGATATCGCACAATCTGTTAATTATATAAAGCTGATGTAACCATTATAAAATATGATTTTTCTAAACTATTATTTTTCACAAAACAAAGCATAAAAATAAACAAAGACATCGAGCTAAATTCCTACAAGCGTAAATACTTGTAATAATTAATTAGATAAAAATCTTCCTCTATAGATATAACTCTGTTATTAATTCTCCAATACAATATATCAAGGTGTTTAGATACCCTCATCCCTTATACCCTTTGTTATTATCAAATATATTTATACTTGCTAACGTTATCAAATATTTATTTTAGTAAGTAATTTATTCTTGATAATGATCTAAACTCCCACAAAATACTATTTTGAAAATTAATAATAGAGTTTATCCATAGAAGTTTTTTATATAGTTATAAAAAATGAATTCTTTAGAAGATTTCATTTAAAGTTTGTAATAAATGTTTTTTTTGTTGTTGTTGTTGATAAAATCAATAATTATAACAAAATAAAACAAAAATTAAATATCAAAAGTGGTGCTGATATAAAATAAAATTTAACGTGTATTATTTTTTAGCTATTAATTTTTTGCTTTGTTTTGTTTTTTTTTTTTTTTTTAAAGTAATTATTTTTGTTATTGTTTGTTATGAGAAATCGTCTAAATAAATATTCTTGCGCTTACAAGATGATAAAGAAAAGTTTTTTTATTAATTTTCTTAATGAAAATCTTACCACTTATATTGAATGGCTTAATGTGTACAAAAATGGTAAAGTTCGTATCAAGAATTTAGATGCGAGATTTGTTTTGCTTTTTATTTGCATTTTTTTTTTTTTTACTAGAAATAAAGTTCTTATTAACATTAAGAATATGTATAAAGCATACATTATTGCTTGATTTTTTCTTACAATATTTAAAGTTTTCAGTTTATTACTTGCTGACTTTTTAAAAATAAAAAATAGTTGTTCTTTGCAAAACTGCTAATATGTATTCATGTAATAAAAATAAAATTTTTTTAATTCATTTTTTTTTTAGATTTATATTATAGATATTAATAAATATTTATATATTTTACTAAATCTGAATCTAAGAAAATATTTGATAACATTATTACATAACATAATTTCTACATTGTTTTGAGTTAATTTTTCAATTAAACTAGTTTTGAAATAATTTAGTAAATTGTTGTAGTTCAAAAAAGTTATTGAACTTAACTTATGTATTGAGCATTTTAAGATTTTAAGTTATCAAATCTATAAGCATTGAGGAAACTTTTATTACAAAGGAGTTTAAAATGTAATCTCATTTTTTTCCAGTAGCCAGATACAATAAAAATAATTTTATAATCTTCTACTCATCAAGTTTTTATTCGAAATACACAAAAACACATTGAAGAATAAGTTTTTTTTTTATGACCCCTAATTACATGGTTAAAGAATTTTTTTAGTTAAAATAAAACTACTAACACAAACCTACTTTAAAATAAAACAGAATTGTTTTAACTTTTCATTTTTCTAAAATCAGTAATGTGTTTTTTTGCTAGATTACATGCCTTGTTTTAACTAAAAAATGCTTAACGTGATAGCTTAATGTGAATTTGACGTCATAAAATTCGCTTTACTTTTTAATTTTCAAAGACATTAACTTTTTTAAATTACTGCAATAATATCAATTACCATGAAACGAATTAAATATTGTTTAACTTTTTTTTAATTATTACTATAAGGAAATGTTTATTTTCTTTTATTTTTTTTTTATATTAAATAATTAAATTTAATATTACATTTTAAAAAATGTTTGATATTAACAAATTTCTTTCTTTACTCGACAATTGCATAAATAAATTAAAATATGTTAAATTTATGACTTTTTAAATGATTATATTACTTAAATTTCTTATAGCGGCTTTGTAACTACAAATGATTTTTTATTTAAAAAAAATTTGAGTAATAAATAAAAAAATTATATTAATTTATTTTCATAACTTACTTTATTTATTAAAGGTTTAATATTTTATTAACAATTCTGTTGTGAAAGTAAAGATTATTTTTCTAAACATCATTTATTAAAAATATATCGCTGTATATACCATTTATTAAAAAATAATTGCTGCAATATAACTTGCATTATATATATTAAAAAAAAAGTTTAACTTATGTTTTGTGCAAATTTTTGATACAGCAGGTTAATTAAAATTTGATTTTGAGTAGAAGAAAAAAAAAGGTCCTAGAAGGAAAACCTAAAAAACAATTGCGATAAAAATAAGCTAATTTTTTTTTTAATAACAAATAAAATTAAAATATTGAACAATATTTAGCATAATTCTTAAATAAACTTGGCAGTTAAGTTAAACGCAAGCATTAACTTTCATTTTAATAAAGTTAAGTATTTTTTTTAAATCAAAATTAAATTATATATATTTTTTAATCTAAATTAATTTATATTTTTTTTTAACAGAATGAAATTATATTTTTTTATTAAATTAGTTTTAAATTAAATCATATATTTTTTATCAGAGTTTAATTTTATTATCTTTGCTTCAAGCTTAAAGTAAAAGCGTTTTTCAAGCAAAAAAATCAATTATTTCAATAAAATGAAAACAAAAAAAAAAAAAATTTTCAATTTCAATTGTCATTCAAACTTTTGTAACAAATATTTTTACATAAATGTCATTCAAAAGTTAATAATATTTTTTTAAATTTGATTACTTCTTTTATCTTACCGCTTATTAAATAATAAGTTAAAAATGATAAAAAGTCGCTAAACCAAAATTGCTTACTGCTTACGTAAAATTCTATGTGTAACGCTTTAAAACAAGACCTGGATTGCTGTGGTGCAAAGTGAAATATAATTTATAACCTCAGGTAATCAATTTTAAGTTCGTTCTGATTAAAAGATTTGAAATTCTCTGCATAATTGATCTGAATATTAGCAACATCTGTTGATGGATTCAAAGAACCAATAACATTTTGTTTAAAAAATTTATATTAATTTGCCTAATACTAACACATATTGTGGATTTTTCTCCTATAATATGAATAATCAGTTTGTTACCAGTTCTAAACCTTTCAACTTTTTGGATGTCCAGCTTACTCTTTACAACTTTCAATGAGAAATCAAAAGCAAATTCTGTTGATTTTTTTAAACAAGAGTCCCAACAAGGCTGCAAGAAACCACTAATTAAGTTAGGAGTTAACAAAGAACAAAAAAAAAAGGCAAAGAGAATAAAAGAAGTTGGCAGAATACTAGAAACCATTTTATGAGTCATGAAAATATGAAAGAGTTATGGAAAAGAGTTATAGAAGAATATGAAAAAGGAAAGAGTTCTGAAGCATTGACCTGCAATAAAAATATTAAGCTAGATTAATTTGTTTAGAGCATGAAAGAGCAGTTACAGTAAAAGGATGCGGCTTTGCTGAATGGTCAGTAGCGTTATTCAGCAAAGTGAATGAAACAAGTGATGATAGCTTGCTTGAGCAGCAACCATGTTAGTATTTGTAAAAGAGAGATAAAGATACAACCTTACAATGATAGAACAGTAGCAGCTCAAGCAAGCCCAATAAGATTTACAATGCAATTTTAAACCTTGCCTAAAAGAGAGGGTTATCAGGGTATCATCATTTTCTTTTTCGATTCAGTGATGGACTTTCGATTTTGTTTAAATCAATGTTTCCTGACTATAGCTGAAAAGTTCTCTTTTCAAAAAGACTCATATTATATAAATTTTGTAATAGCTCCTCTTAAGAAAGTCTTAACTCAGTTGTACAAATAAGGCAGATGGATCTTGTTGTTAATTATTGAGATAGTATTTTAAACTGTGTTTGTACTCGTTACCTAGACTCAACCTTTATTGGACATAGTCGAAGTAAAGATCTTTTGCATAATTTTTTGTTGGATTTGAAATCTTTGAAAAAAACCAAACATTTTCAAGTATCTATGGATGGCCCAAATGCAAAGTGTGCCTTCTACTCTGAGTTACAAAACTTTCGTACCAAAATGTCATTAACAAACTAATTCCAACTGGATCTTGTGGTCTTCATTCAATTCATCTATCATTTAAAACTGGGGAAATCAAAACAGACTGGGGTATTAAAAAGATTTTAAAAGCTCTTTCTAAACTTCTCTATGATTCTTCTGCCAGATGGGAAGACTTTATTGTTGTTACTGAAAATAATCAACTTCCTCTTCCTTTTTGTGGTACTCGATGGGTTGATGACGAACAATTGGCTTTAAGAGCTTTTAATATTTGGGAGAGCATTTGTAAAATATTTTTGGAATCTCTACCAAAGAGTAAGCAGCCTTTGTGCATGAGCTACCAAATTGTTTTATCTGCTACTAAGGATCTTCTAATTTTAGCAAAATTTTATTTCTTTGCTCATATAAACTCATATTATGCAATCTTCTTAACCATATATCAGTATGCTAAATCTATGATGCCATTTTTTATGACGACCTTTATCGACTATAAAAATGCATAATGTCAAAGTTTATTATAACTGATGTTTTAGATCCATGTAAAACTGCAAATAGCCTCTGCAAATTTGATTTTACAAAAGAAATAAACTATTTAAAAAAGCAAGATATTGGATGTGGTGCAAGCACTATATAAATAATAAAAAAAAAAACCCGATGAAATCACTCCAAAGGTTATTTATGCTTACAGTTGCATATGTTTTCTACAGTCATTGACATGTAAGTTTTTGGGTAAATCGCCTTTAAAATATGCCATTGTGCGAAATGTAAAATGTTTTGACCCAGAAATAATGTGCAATGAAAAAATGGTAAAGGAAAGGATAAGTGATTTGTTTGATAATTTGATTCAATTGCATTGGGTTACCCCCAAAAGGTGGGGATGAGGTAAATACCAAATTCAAGAGATATTTTGAAAAGATTGTCTTAAAAAACAGGGAACTTTTCATGAATTTTATCAAAATAGATGATAGATTGGATGAGTTCTTTTTTCTAAAGTTGGTGGTTTAATTAACTAATCAAAATGGTGTTGACCCTTTTTCATGCTCAAGCAGTGGTTGAAAGAGGGTTTAACATTGACAAGAATATGTTAAAATCTAGTTTAATGAGTAAATCATTAATAAGCCAGAGAATTGTGTATGACCATATGAAAGCTCTTGACCCAGAATCTATAGTTATCTCTAAGGAACTGAGAGAATCTGTCAAAAATCAAAAGTTGTTTTTCGACACATTGGTAAATGGTACACATGTTGTTTTTAAGTGAAGACAGTTGAAAGATTAAAATGGTTGCTCGAAAAGAAACTGTGCTTACAGATGCTCGAAGGCAAAAAAGAGACTTACTTGCTATAGGGATGAAAGACTTACAATCTAAAGAGGTTATTCTGGAAAATGTAAAAAAAACAAACTAAAAAAGGATTCAGAAGTAATTCTTGTGAAAGCTGCAAATGATGCTGAAAAAGCTCATACTTATGCTATTGAAGCAAAAGTTGTTCTTGAAGAGAGGAAAAAGAAGAAAGAAGAGATTAAAAAATTTGATGAAACAATTGAATTATTATTTAAGAAAAGTAAAGAACTTTGAAATTTTAAATATCAGTTTATTATTATTTATATACAGTATAATCTAAATTTATTTTGATATTTAAAAGATATTTAAAAGTATATTATATAAGTTAATATTTATTTTTGAAAAGATTTTTGATATTTATGTGGCAATACTTTTTCAGACTTTTTAACAAAAAATAAAAATTTTGTTTTAACTTTTATCAATCTTTTAGTGTTTTTTTTTTCTGAACCATTTATAAATGTCTATTTTTCATCTTTTAAATATATTTTGATTTTAGCTTTATATTTTACTTTCACATTACTTGGGTAATTCAGTTTATTTTGTCTTGAATGCTATTTATCAAAACAGTTTATAGAGTCAATAAAAAAATAGCATTTTTACATTTTACTTTGATTTAGTTTTAAATGTACTTTAATAACAGTAGCAACAATGACAACATACTAACAATACTTTGATAAATGTAATAATGATGCTTTATTATGAACTGTATTTGATTTTTCCATGTATTATTACCCAATCCTTTTTAAAGCCTGGAAAAGCTCATAATAACTGAAATAAAAATCAGGAAAAAGAGGTAGATGATCAGGGAAAAGAGATCCACGACCAGGGAAAAATCAGGAAAAAGTCAGGGAAATCCACCTTAAGGTGGATTTCCCTGACTTATTAGTATTATTAATTTCTTTATATAAAAGTTTGAGATTATGAAATTTTTTTTTTCTAACCACAATGTTAAAATGATTCTTGAAGGCCTCTTCTTCATTTCCAGAGATTTTAGGGGTACCATAAGATCTTTGCTCTTGTATTGTTCTACATTAACAATCTTTCTGACAATCTTACATTTAAAGTGACTCTGTTTGCTGACAATTTAACTTTAAACTCTTGTCGTGACAAAAAGTCTTCACTTTTTGATTGCTTAGAACAAGAAGCTGATCTTAAATCTTCTGTAACAGCATGGGGCTTGCAGTGGCGTGCGGATTTTAACTCTAAAAAAACTCAGTTATTTACTGCAAATAACTATTGCAATATTGTTGACGGTCTTATATTGACAAATAATAACCCCCTCACCACCAGACAAGGTCAAAAAGCACTTTGTAAATGTAGTTAAACCTACTTTATCTGCCACTCTCCTATTGTTGTAAGGTTGCATCTTTTTCTTTTTTTGACAAATACTATCATGGTCTCTGCTCAAACAAGCTATCATGTCTAGTTCAAATCAAAAATCTTTTTGGCATGTCATTTAGCAATGTTGCATCATTTGTATCTGTCCATTGTTGATATCAATGTCCCTTAATGCATATCAGCCAAGTCTTATTTTTATTCTTCTAGTTTATATATATACAGGCCTTGTTTTAAATAAAAAATGCAAACGGTCTGTATATATATATATATATATATATATATATATATATATATATATATATATATATATATATATATATATATATATATATATACACACATAGTTGACAAAAAAACATAGTTTTATATGAACTGTAGATAAAATAATTCATACATTAAAGTGTTTGCATGATTTTTCTTAAAAGTTTTTGCTTTTATTTTTTTGACAAGGGCTTGCTAACATTTTTGAGAGCATGTGGGAGAGCGCAAAAGTGCTGGCCAAATGGAAAAGACTGATTATATATGCTAGTATTTAATAAATAGTAAATGTATGCATAAGTTTTTAAGATCTTAAGTATTATAAATTTTTTTCTTGACTTTACTATTAACCCCTGCTAAATCTTATAATTTTGCTGGGGCCAGGTTTGTAAAAGTCCTATTGTTAGCTTAAACATGGGCCCCGATCACTTACTATATGTACATTTCTTGCATGTTTTACCTATTTAAGTCATTGGTGAATGTGTAGTTTTTTAATTAGTGAAAAGTTTAATTTTATATATTCCAATCAAGTTTTGTTTAAAATTTGTAGTAGTTTCAGATATCCTTTATAAAACATTAGGTTAAAAAGTTTTTTTTTTTTTTTTTAAAGCTTGTTTTTTGTAAAAGTTAGTTTAAATCAAAGTTGTTTTTATCATGGACATGTGCTGTTGCTTTTTATAAAAGGAAATTTTAAAAATTGTCTTTTTTTTTTTAGCTTTCATTCGTAAAGTAAGTCAAGTTTATTTATTTTTTCTTAAATATTTATTTATAAATCTTTTTTCAGAGGTTTTAATTTTTAGATAAGAAAATTCCAGTTATTGTTTATGATATATTATTATTTTTTATTTTTACTATTTAACATTATTTGTACCCTTACTAATATTTGTAGATGTTTTTTTTTAAGAGGAAAAGTTTAACTTAACTGTTGTGATTTAATTTAACTGAATGAATTGTGATTCGACTTAATGAGACTGAGTAATTAGTTTTTTAATTTTTTTTTTTTTTGCGTGTTGCCTTTATTTATTTATTTTTGCGTGTTGCCAATTATTTTCAAAATGCAGCACAAAATTTTTTTTCAATTTGTAATCGTGTTGTTTGGAATGTAATGTTTCCATAATGCGTTTTTCCCGATTTATTGTTGTTTCTTTTTTCAAGCTAACTTTTTAAATTTATAAATAAAAGAATGTAAAATATTAGCAGAGATGTGAGATGCTTCTCAAATGTGCAATCACTTTCTTTAAGAATCAAATTGTTTCTTTTTAATGAAGTTTTTATAGTCAAGGAAGTACATGTGAATGAAACAGAATAACTTTTTTTTTTTTTTTTAAGTTAAAGTAAATAAAAATAAAACAACATAAGTTTATTAAAAACATTTTATAAGTATGTTTTTACAAAAAATAACTTATTCTACTACTAGTAAAGTAATATAATGATTCAGCAACTTTTCAAATGAATATTTCAAACATTAAAATTAATGTTATTTCAAAATATTAGATAATTTTAAAAAATTTAGAAAATTTTGAAGTTGTTTATTTTGGTTGTATTACGATTTTCAAAAAAAAAAAAATTATTTAGGTGTATGCAATTCTTTTTTGCCAATTGCTTGTGTCAGTTGGAATTGTTTGTCTCTTTTTACTTGTGTAAGTTTTTAATTATTTTCTGTTTAATATTGTTTTATTGTGGACTATATTTTTTTTCTAATAATATTTTAAAAATTAGATGTTTTTTTTGTTTGTAAAAAAATATTGGGCTGGATATCTTAGTGGAAAACATTTGTTAAATTTGAATTTTTAAAAACTCACAGTGTATTTTCATTTTAAAAATTTTATTGATATATTTTTAGGAAGCCAATAAATACCTATGTAAAATCAAATGTTATAATGTTTTGGGCAGCATGGTAAGTAATATATTTTTGACAAATTTACAAATAAAAAGTGGTATGCACTACTTTTTGTTTGTAATATTTGTTATCTAAAATTGGATATCAGTAAATTAAAGAAAAAGTTATTTTTTTTTATTCATATTTATTTATTTTGAAGTTACTTATACTTTAATCTGCCTTCAATTCCTCCCCTCCCCCTCCCCCTTCCCGCACCACCACCATGTTTTTCTATTAAATTCCTTTATTTGTAATTCTGATATTAAATTTATTTTAATATAAAGACAACACAAGTAAACAACACATATCATAATGCAAGGTTTTGCAAGGTTTTTACTCTTGATTGTGCAAAATATGAAACAACGTGATCAAATTATTTTAAGAAGTTACATGCTTTGTAGTTAAATATTCATCTATTGCTGATCACTAGTGTTGTAAAAAGCTTTAAAATTGTTTTATTGAAAAAATATTTTTTATTTTTATTTGCGTGCATCTGTGTTCTATTGATAATTTTTACAAAGTGTATTTTTTAGGATCTTAACAATAGTTTTGATGATTGCACTCATTTGTTGCGAAAGTGTGAGGTATTATCTTAAGTGTTTATATTATTTTTTTCAAATAAAGTTTTATGTTCATTTTCTTTTGATAAAATTATAATATTTTTTTTCATTGTTTAAATTTTGGAATTTTTTGATCCAAATTTATTATTCAAGTTTAAACATTTTTTCATGTGGTTTGGCACAATTAAATGATTTTTTTTTAGGAGAACTTTTCCCATGAACTTCATAATGTTATCATTATTTGTAAGTAATTTTTAATATTCATTTAGTTGCAAAAATGTATTTTTTTAAAAGTAATACAGTATAAATAGATGCATAAGTTTTTCTTCTGCTTATGTAAAATTAGTTTGCCATAAAACTAGTTTATGGTTTAGAATAAAATCAATTGCAAATTCACAGCTAAGACACAGCTGAGAAACTAAAGGTGAAGCTGTCTTCACCTTAGTTTGTGGTAAATGCCCAAAAGTTTACAATTGTTTTATAAAACATTTTTCTTTTAAAACATAGACATTATGTGAAAGTTATCTTATTGGTGTTGTTTCTGCGTAAGTCATTTTTTCTTTTTTATAATTTATTATAATTGAGATATTTAAAAATTTGAAATTCATTAATTTTTATTATAATAAAACTCTTATAAGTTTACATAAAAGGGATTAGTATAGTATCATTATTTTGGTCACATGACATCACTGTTTGTGTGTCAAAAAACATCAATGTTTTGACTAATATGCTTCATAAAGTTATTCTATGGTAAATTTATTGATTAGCGTGTTACCTCCACCATAGTCATAAGAAATAGTCTGGAAGCATGGGCCGTTTCCATTGTTTTACCGTTTTAACTTAAAATTTATATTCGGCCCGTTCACCCCGCACAACTTTAAAAAATGAGCAATGAAATTTATATAGAAACACAGCTTGATGATCTGTATATAGCAATTACTGATGAAATTTTTGACAATAACAAGGAAATTGAGCATGATCTAGATGTTTTATTATTTGAAGATTGTTTGCTATCCAATTTTTTGTGCAACTTGTGTTGTAAAGTTTATAAAACAAAAAATGGCTTAAAAAGACACACAACTTCGAAACACAAACTAATCAACCCAGTGAGCGAAAACAAAAACTCCATAGCATTTTGTCATCTTGATCTTAACAACATTGTTGAAGATTCTGCTTATAAATTGTCAAATGATTTATGTTTGCCTGAAGAAATTAGAGTTAAATTTTCAAAGCAGAGCTTCAGTTTTAATTTTGAAGATTCTATTTCTCTTTTAGAAAAATTACAGGCTTTTATTTCAAAGTACAATGGTGATGCAGAAAAATTTTATTCTCAGTTTTATGGGCTTCTTCATGAAAATTTATTGCCATCAAAGTTTGATGATATTTTATTGACCAATACTTTGCTTACTGAAGTTGCCAATCATATACTTCAAGATCTTTCAGGAAATAAACATAATATTTCATCTTATAATGAAATTAATCACCCAATAATTTTTCTGCGAAAGAATTAAGTATAATTCAATTTTTGGCTGGTTATGTTGTGCAAAAACTTTACTCAAAGTTTAAATTTTCTAAATCTGAGGAGCAGTATAAAAGACAATGCATGGAAATATTATCAGCATGCATGGAAATATTATCAGCATGCAAAATTGATTCAAATGATACCCAACTGTATATTGATACTAAGAATAGAGGTGGTTTATTTAAAACTAACATTTATACTCAAAATATCTTTATTCAATGTGAAACAATTTTTCGTAAACAAAGCAAATCTTTTGTAACATCTGTTGACAGCAAAGCCCTGGTTAATGAAATGCTCAAGGACTCAGTTATTATAAGTAACTTAAACAATATACGTTACAGTACTGAAGTGCAGATTAATAAAGAAATATCTTTCTCTCTTTAAAGTATGCTTATTTTGTTCACGAGGGTAAGAAGCTTTTCCTACGCTAGAGATATTTGTGAAAAACATCAGATCAACAAGCGACAAACACGCAAATCTTCTATAAGAACAGAGTTAAGAAAAGCAATGTGCAGCAATGTACATGGCTTTTCTTGCTCCTTAACTCTTGTTTTCAGGCTTTTAGCTATCTGCTCTGAAAGATAAAAAACGGTTATTTTTATAGCCACAAATTTAATGAAAATGTTGTAGCTAAAACAACTTAATTCTCTTTAAATAAAAATATAGCAAGTTATACGTTGAATAAAAAAGAGATTATTAGTTTCATATATAATTGTGTCTTTTATGTAGAACTATGTACAGTGAGGCAGAATGCCATCCTGTTACATTTTTATAAAGTATAAACCGTCTTGCCACCTTTTCATAAATCTCATAACATAATGGTTATGCAAAATGGTATTTTTAATTTACTGAAAACCATATTGTTACTTTTTATAATTCACTTTGAGCACTATATATATATATATATATATATATATATATATATATATATATATATATATATATATATATATATATATATATATATATATATATATATATATATATATATATATATATATATATATATATATATATATATATGTATATATATATGTATATATATATGTATATATATATGTATATATATATATTTATATATATATATGTATATATATGTATATATATATATATATGTATATATATATGTATATATATATATATATTTATATATATATATATATATATATATATATATGTATATATATATGTATATATATATATATTTATATATATATATATATATTTAGTAAAAACACTTATCTAATTTTAATTTTCTACAAGTTGTTTCACCATCAAATGGCTCATGATTCCTGATGAGCCATTCCAACAAAATTAGATAAGCATTTTTACTAATTTATTATTGCTCTTTAAGAACATTGAGCACTCTATTTGTAGAATACACTAACATAATTTATATATATATATATATATATATATATATATATATATATATATATATATATATATATATATATATATATATATATATATATATATATATATATATATATTTGTGTATTCTACAAATATAAAAATAGAGTACTCAATGTTCTTAAAGAACAGAGCAATAATAAATTATATTATACTATTATATACAATAATAAATTATATTATATATATATATATATATATATATATATATATATATATATATATATATATATATATATATATATATATATAGATATATATATATATATATATATATATATATATATATATATATATATATATATATATATATATATATATATAAATATATATATATATATATATATATATATATATATATATATATATATATATATATATATATATATATATATATATATATATATATATATATATATATATATAAACATATACATATACATACACTCTTGCTTAGTTGGCAGAAACATTTTTCCCATAAAAGTTAGCATATGAATTTATTTTATGAAATTAATAAAAATCAAGACCTGACAATATTGCCTTTTCATAACAAAAATTTCCTCCCCTCCCCTCCCCCCTACATTTGTATTTTCAGGTGAAAATTTAAAATGATAAACTGACTAATAAAACTTAGAGTTTCTACCTATTTATTAGATCTGGACAATAATTTCACCCATCTGTTTGTCCCCAACCCATTTTTTTATTAGGCATCTAAATGTATGGATTAATAATTAGAAAATTGAGACCCTCTTCCAGTAAAATTTCTAAATATTAAAAACAAACAAGATCAAAGCTTTTTGCTAATTAAAGATTTTCTGTATTTATTTAAAAGCTAGGCAGTTTAAAAGGACAACAAATGTTGCAGTTGAGTAAAAGACCCAGAAGAAAAATGCATTGCTTTTTGTTAAAAAAGAAATCAAACTTTAGGAAAAATTCATGAGGGTGATAGTGAAATCGTGTATGTACTTGCTGTTTTGAACATCTCCTGTTTACTCCTACCCCATACCTGCAAATGTACTTTATGAACTCCACCTAATGTTGCACAAATACTATATAATGCATAACTTTAATCTAAACTAAGAATAGCTCACCTAATTTAATGTAAAAATTTCAGGTACTTGATACAAGGATAGGGATCAATATAAAGTTTATAGCTGGGGTAAGCACCCAAGAGTATCATAGTAATTTTAAAAAAAATGCTTTTTTATATTAAAGAGGAATGCCTGCTTTGACAAAATAAATAAATGTAGAAAAAAATTGACACAAGTACAAAAAGTAAATTCTTAGCCAATAATGTAATTATTTTTATATGTAGCTATGAAAATAGCTGTTTTGACAGGATCAAAAGTCACAGTCACAGTCTGGGACTTTGGAAAAGTTAATTAGCTATTTAGTCAGACTTTTTTTCTTTTTGGCAATGGTGAATCATTTATCTCATTAAAATTATGTCTTTGACATTGGATATTACCAACAATAGATCGTACAGAATATTGTGACCTGATAGTGTTGTCATTATACCCAGCATCTCTGACAGAAGGATTATCACATCTGCTGCCAATAGCACGCTGTCTTCCGAAGTAGTTTTCTAAATCGTCTTGACAAAAGACGATTTAGAAAACTACTTCGGTAAACTACATGGTGTTCCTTATATTCTTTCTGAAAGAATATAAGGAACACCATGTTCTAAGAGAAACTTACAAACTTCTTTGTATGAATGTACAGTTATCTGGATACTTTCATAAGTTTGCATAGAAATAAACATATTAATCTTAGCATTAGCAGTATAATTCCTGTCATTTCGATTGTCAATAGACTCTTTCCAGTTTTTAAAATATAAAAGAAAACTGTCAAGTCATTCAAAACGTACATCATTAACAGATTCATAAGGTTTTAGATTTTCTTTTAAATTTTTGATAGCTTTATTTTTACTTGAAACATTTAAACAGTCAAAAAATTTATCCATCATTAAACAAAACTGAGCCGTTCCAGCACATTCTGGGGGACCAAATTCTTTTAAAACTTTACTAACTGTTTCACTTAACACTTGAGCAGCCAAATAAACACGCATTACTGAATATGGTGTTAAATTAATGTGATCACTTGTGAGTTTATTTACTAATCTTAAAATACATTCTAAGTCCTCATAATATAGTTGTGAAATATGACTCCAAAGTAGGTGCAGACCATTGTTCCACATATAACGAGTACCTCGTCCAGAACCAGAATTTGCAAGGCAGTTACGAGCTGTTTTAATCAAGTGTGGAGCATCTGAAAAAAAATATATGTAACGCTTTTCATTGGAATAAATATTCTGTGCTCTGCAAACTAAATCATTACATAAGTTCATATTTAAGTTCTTATGCATTCTAAAAAATTTTCTGTTTGGAGAAGCACCATCAGCTGTTCCAGAAATAACCTTTAAATTCATACTTTCAAGGTAACACACAGCTTTCCAAAAAATAGGCATTAGCTGAAATGATGTAATTCCAGTAGTTGCAAAAGTAGCTAAACTAAATGATAAAGGATTTACAATTTCTTTATCACCTAAATCAACAAAACCAATAAGCTCTCCAGTATATTTGTCCCAAACTATATCTTCTTGGATCTTCA